CAGTGAGCAGTGCACCATCAAGCAGCGATGGAGCACGCCTGTAATCCAGCACTGCGGAGGCAAGGATTGGTGGATCACCGCACACACGGTGTGAAACTCCATTCCCGTGGGCTTCGAGGTGCCATACCCTGGCTCACCAAGCAGGTGGAAGTGCAGTAAGTGGACTAATTGCCATCGGTTTCCATCTGTACGATGAAAGAGTGTTGTCCCCTCACGCTCGTGGGGTTTCTCCGGCTTCCTTCCGCTTGTATAAACACTCACTAATTGGCCGCAAACATCGTAAAATATAAAAAAAAACTTGATGCAGCAGGACCCCTCCTGAAAATGAGTCTGACGACTCAACGTGGCTTCCTGGATAAATAATAAAATTATTGCCATTATTTTGGAAAACGACCCAAGATGATGATTTCACAAACCCATTTGTTTTTTACTGCTGCAATCTGCCAAATTAAGCGGGGAACGAAATTGAATTGTCAGATTTTTTTCTGGGTGCAGTTATTGGCGAACGTGCTGAGACGGAGTTCACTGCAGTAGACAACCCAGTTTAATCACGTTTGGTTGCCCAGGTTTGACACAAGGGTCTCAGCAGTGCCAGTACGGTGCTCCGATATGGTCTTCGCCTCCAGAGCCACAGAGCCACCCTACCATCACTTTCCTTATAGAGAATACACCGTGTACACAAATACCCCCGTTTGTCTTTTTAAAGGACATAGCCATTCATTATAAACACACGTGATATATGGTGCACCCTCCCCTCATTAATATTCATGAGCGGGTGGATTTTTACACTCACGCAGAAGAAGGTCGAGCGGAAATATTTTTTTTCGCAAATTCGCTTTAAGTTTGACGTTTCTTTATTGAAAGTGAATCTAAAAAATAATTATACGCAGCAACAAAGTGGATTTGGTGTCTTTATTTATTTCTTCAGCACTTGAGACGAAAGGTAAGTCTAATTTAGGCTTTTACATTATGGAAAATGTACATTTCTCGGTGATTTTCCAGCATATTTCAACCCCAGCGACCGGAAAGCAGAATAGAATAACGTATCAGAGCAGTGAATTTGAACAAATTGAAGGTCAGTTATATACAGTGCTACAGTGAACTGCAGTGAAGTGTTTTAGGACTTCGTTTTGTGCCAGATTCACTGCCATTAATACAGTGCTACAGTGAAATTCAGTGAAGTGTTTGATGACATACTTGTGCAAGATTTACTGCCATTAAATTTGCACAAGATACAATTATACTCTGCTCCATTTTTTTTCGTAAATATTACAGCTTCTGTCCTAGGACTGGCAAACAAGCTCATACTCTTTATGGCTATTATGAGCCAGAGAAGGGTCAGCTGCGACCTGGGACGTGACAAGCTTTAGACCATAATTTCTCAAACTATGGCTGTCAGCGAGGTTTACGTTACCCGTTAGTTACTGCTCAGTAAATAAAACATCAACCATTCGGTGCATCACGAACAGTCCACGTTTCTAACCCCCCTCCCCCGCCCACACACTAAAGCCAGAGCTCTAAAACCACCGTCTTCCATATCGATGCGCAGCATGTGGGCAGCTGCCGCGTGCGGGCAGCTGCAGATGATGTCCGAGGGAAGATGGACTCGACACACGTTATATTATTCGCACCCCCATCCCGTGAGAACTGCTGTTCGCGTGTCGTGTTGTCCCAGCCCAGCACCTCCGATCAGCGCGGTTTGACTGCGTACGGTCCGAAAAAAGTTCAACGTACATACGTACGTCCAGTACATGTCACCCAATGACACTAAATATACCGACAATGGAACTACGATCTTGAATTCTAAACGAGTGCCTTTTACCGACGTTTTAAGTGTCCTGCGGTGGCACGTGCGTCGTCGTAACGCGTCATCCTCATTCGTCAGTCTGTGCGCACTTTGCGCATTAATGCTACGAGCTCGTTCCTGTATTAAATTACCCTCAATTATGTACAGGTGTGTGTGTGCGTATGCTGTGGGGAGCGGTAGTGTACCGGATAGGGTTCTGCGCTACGAACCCCTCTGCCCGAGTTCGATTCCTGCTCACGACCAACACCAGTGACAATTATCTGAACCGGTCATGGGCCTCCCATGTCGACTCAGCCTTAAATGAGTACCTGGTGCGGTGTGTAAACATCGCCACTAGGGAGACAAAGGCAGCCCCAGGCGTGGTGCTGGCCACCCACACCTTCGTGTGCCGTTCCGGATTTTATAGGTGCTCGCTAACAGCCCTTGCCCCAACAGTCTGTACAGGTTATACGGGGGATCTTTGTCCTTGTCTTGTATGCTGTGTGCGTAGACGTGCACAATACTCGGACTCTGAAGGAGTTCAACCATAAAGTGCAAGTGTCTACTGATTTTTAAAGGAGTTCATTCAGAAGCTTTATTGAAACCAGGCGAGAGAGATTCATGAGACGAGTATATGTCACCCCCTATACAAAGGTGTCATGGGAAACACGATGTGTGCACAGCACTGTGGAGCGACAAAATACAAGGCGATGAAACCATCTGGGCGCCCCCTTACAGCAAACACAAAACACAATTCTGCTTCGCACAATCCACTTTTCTATTCCCCCGGCGTGAAAAGGTGTGATGATGAATAACAATGAGTCGGAAGGATGCAGCGCTCACGACAAGAACAATGAATAGCCCAACGGCAACTCGGGAATGAACATATCAGTGGGGAAGGTTTTTTTTTTGCCTTGTACACGCATTAAGTTTACATACATCACCATGGCACCCTCGGAGCGAGAAGGGGTTAACAGATGGGACAATAGTTGGATACACCGTTGGACGCTCAGGAATGAGCAACAATGTGATGTAAACATCCCAGGGACGTGTTGCTCATGCAGGTGGCCCAAGTATGTATGTTGAACTTCTTTCGCACCGTACGTAGTCAACCGTGCTAAATTGGATTTCTGTATATATCTCGAGGTACACGCAATCCATGCGTATTGTAGTAGTGGTAGTGTAAGTAGCGAAGCTCGTCTAGGTGCTCTGTGGAACAAAGGTATAAAGTATACGTGCTACTAGATATGTTTAGATTACCGCAGTAGCGAATGGGCATTTGTGGGAGAGCAATGGCACAGTGGAACCCAGCGATCGGTATTTTGCACAAAGTGAGTTACAGTGTGAGAGTTTACATTTGTAAGGCGCATTCGCAATGCGGCACCGTGTATGGAAGTCGGGAAATAAACAGAACCATGCAGAGTAAACGGCCAGATCTAACCGGGGGTTAAAGGCCAATTTAAAGAGGTGAGTTTTCAAGGCAGACTTAAATAGCTCCAATGACCCCGATTGTCTTATTACCAAAGGCAAAAACGCGTTGTTCCTTAGTCTGGGAGCTGCACTGGAAAAAAAAGGCCGATCACCCCAGGAAATGAGCCTTGACCTCGGAGAACTTAGGAGAATGCGATCCGAAGATGTTAGGGACCTCGTTGGAGTGTAAACACGGAGCAGTTCCTCTAGATGTTGTGGTAATAATACACCTTCCTACATGCGTCAGTGTGCACTCACTCATGCTCAATATATGGTACACCTTTATTAGCGTACATACTTTGCTGCGCACTCAATAGGATGCTCTCTATGCATCGAGTGTACATAGTATATATATATATTTCGTCATTAATCAAACAAACAGCAATTAAATTTCTCATAGAATTCGTAATTTTCGGGGCGTATGCATATTTTTTTACGGAGGAGCTCAGCCCTGGATAGCTCCGGTTGAAAATGAAGCCCCTGGTAATGTGCACACGTGTCGTTATGTATATCATATGCAATGTGCTCAGAAGTGTTGTGTCTATCAGGGCTGTATGCATGTTAAATTGTGTATGCATTCTGTTAACCCGTGTGATATACCAATGCAACCACTGCCTAAAAAGGAACACACAGGTGCCAAAGTACATATGCTATTACATGTGAACAAATGGTTGTGTGCAAAAATTTCCCACTCGTTTGCTCTAGACACGCACACACAGGCACCACATATGTTGTCTGTAGAGTAGTGTATTAAGAGTGCTTACCCATATGCCATACCGACACAAGTTCACACAGGTGCCAACGTACTCATCCACGTGATTCACATAAGGCAGGTAAACACCGAGCATTCGCCCATGCGCTCCAAATAACACGGGTGTCCCCATGTGTGTGTTTGTATGTGTGTATAGCAGTGTGTATGCAGTTCACTCATCCATGCGTTTTACATAATACAGGACGGGTATTCCTGCTGTGTGTATGACTTGCACAGCGGAGAGCGGTGGTATTATGATGGTCAGCGCACTGCGCTCCGAACCTGGATGTCCAAGTCGGATTCCCCGCCACGGCTAACATCAGTGGCGAGTGATATCCGAACCGGTTCTAGGCCTCCCCATAGGTTGACTCAACCCCGAGTACCTGGTGCTCGATGTGTACATATCAGCACTGTGTTGGCCACAATACATAGATCCGTGCCGGACTAACAGTCTGGTCAAGGAGGGGAAATCTTAATTTGTTTTTAGTAGCGTGTATGCAGGGAAAGGAACCCACGTGTTCTACACAACACCGGTACACTCAGGTGTGTGAGTGCGTGTTAGGAGTAGCATGTAAATTCCGTGCACTCGCCCACTCTAAAACAGTTTCATCAATACAGTACTCTGAAGAAGGGCCATTGTCCGAAACGTCGCCGATTATATCGTTTATTTTAAGGCAGTGTTGCTGTCCAGTGTGTTGAGTTTTTTTATTGTGATTGTGCCCCACTGCCAACGCAACATCACCAAATAATTAGCAGCATTATTCTCATGAATAAGCGTACATTTTACTCTAGTGGCAGTGCCTTACGCCGATTATCTCTACTCCAAGCCAGGCCTACCAGCGTTCCTAAAAAAAAAAAACCCCATCTCGAGTGAGAAATAAATCCCCGACTATGCATCGTGCAACGCATAGGGCAACGTCGTACGCGTGAGTGCAACAGTCGGTGCGCCGCAGGGAGCGGCGTGCATCACGCGTGCCTCCTCCTGCTCCTCACCCAGGTAGTCGATGGTGTATCCGCGCGGCGGTCGCAGCGCCCTGCGGCTCCACGCGTCCCGCAGGGCGCCCAGCTCCGCGGGCTCTCCCCGGAGCAGCAGCACCCCGCCGTGCAGCCAGCCCAGCAGGTAGAGCCCCCGGAGCCTCTCAGACAGCCGCCCGTCCCAGAAGCGAGCCGTGTTCTCCGCCTTGAATTCAGCGAAGAGCTCCGCGTATCCCGAGCGCCGAGGCTCAGCGCCCGGGTCCGGGCTCGAACCGGACCCCTGGGGCTGAGCGGCGCTTGTCCGCTCCCGGCTCAGCACCATGGCCACGCATTGCGGGGCGAGCTGCAGGAAGCGCTCCGTCTTGCGCGCTTTTTGGGAAGCCATGCGCAAAGCTCTCTGTTGTCGTGCCGTGCGGTAACAGCACGGCTGTCTCGCTCGGGTAAGAATGCACAGGATTGGTATTTCGTATTCTTGAAGCGTGCGCCTTCGCTAATTCGTCTTATTCTCCTATCGGAGCGCAGTGCGCTGTGCACCGGCTTTAGCGAATGTCCCTGGGTGTGTGTGTGTGTGTATACATGCGTGTGTCCGGCTGGAGTGTGTGTGTGTATGTGTGCGATGGCTGTGTGTGTGTGTTTCTCTCTGGCATCAGGTTGGCTCAGCTGACTGTGGAACACCCCTTGCAATGAAGGCGTCCATGCACTTAAAAGCGCAGGCAGTTGCCTACACCGTTTAAAGAGACGAATCGGACTTTTATCGTCAAAATTGTTGATTGAAAAGAAAATTGTAAAAAAAAGAAAATCGACGTTAAGAAAACTCGAGTACAAAACACACCTTGGCGGAATATTGATCTTCAAAACTACCACAAATGGTCAAAGCCAGAACTACACGCACAAAAACACACGCGCTACATAATAACGCGCGTGCAAGCGAGCGAGCGAGCGCTCTCTGCGAGAGGGCGGACGAAGATTGCGCGCCGATGACGATTCTGGCGAATGAATGGGCGAGAGAACGCCTCGCCCGCCCTTTAAATAGTCTGCGTGGGGTCTGCCCTCCACTGCCCGCCACCTGACGTTGCGGCTCCCCCCACTGGCACCTCTCGTCTGCCACCTCGCGATGCGCCACGGCCACGAAGTGCACAACAGCGCTTCGTTCGGTTGCTGCACGCGTCTCTTCGCTAATGTCTTATTGATTTTGGGGGTCTTTTTTTTGTTACAACCCACCGTATACAGGAATGTCGCCGTGGTGTATCGATTATATTATCAACGGTGGACTTGCAATCCAGAGGTCGTTTCCATCTGGCGGCATGGCAGTTGAAACAATGGGAATATTTTTAACACGTAGTAGGCTTTCGCGATCAATATCATCCATAATAGAGGTTTTTTTTGGGTTAGATCGCGTAAATATATAAATGTGTTGTTAAAACCCGCCACCACCCGACACAGCCAACTCGTAAGGGTTGTCACAACTAGCTTCATCAAGTAATTCATAATTACTGGCGAAACGTTGTACTCTGTAAATGTCGTGGCTTGGCTCTCCAACACACCGGTTAGTGCTGTACTAGTGACGGATTGGCCACGTTTTGTTTACGTGACAACCCTTACGAGTTGGCTGTGTCGGGTGGTGGCGGGTTTTAACGACACGTTAATATATTTACGCGACCTAACCCAAAACACCTCTATTATGATGGGAATCTTTTGTCTGTGTGTTTTGATTTAAACCCTCTTCCTCATTCCACCCCAGCCCACATGCATTGTTGGTATACCGCACTTAATTGATCAGCAGGGGACAGGCAGCTGGCATTTCTTCCTTCATTTTCATACGATCGTTGTGTGGCATAGACGTAGAGAAAATGGGGCTTAAACATATATACAGTATTGCAATTTGGTGTAGTTTATAAACAGCTATGCTTTCATATGTACACGTTATGTACATATTGTGAGTAGTTTATGTAAAAGGTAGATGAACACATGTACAATTGCTCACGTCACTGCTGGTGGATATGCCTCCACTGGAGGGAGCTCTAGAAAACCCCCTCTCGGGGACATTTTCCTATATCTCCCACGCTGCTCAGACGTCTTGTAAATTTTGTACATGGACGCAGAAAAGTAAGCAGGTCGCTTGTGGTGTGGTGAAGTCTAAATGTGCATGCATCGTTTTAGATTTGAAGCTTTCGTGACTGCAAGGATTCATACTCTTAGGTTTTTTCGGTAAAGTCACATAGGGAAAAAATAATAAAAAATTAAATAATAATAAATGAAAATAAATAAATCAACGGTCCCACCTGAAGACGGAGACTTGTGTTGCCTCCGAAACGTCGTGATTTAATTGATTTATTTTCATTTATTTTCTTTTTACCTACGTGACTTTACCGAAAAAACCTAAGAGTATGTATGCATCGTCTTCAAACGCGTTCATACCAGTACAAAAAATAATACAGTCGTGTTAATGACTTGGAAGTAACACGCCGGTGCAAGCAACATGTGAATGCCCACTTCGTATGTTACGCGAGGCATTCAGCCGACGGATTGAGCTGAATGGGTACGGGGAAGGAAGTGTGTGCTCCCTATTCCTTGCCGGTTTAGGCCAGTTCTGCAGTTTGTTTTCTCTCTCTAAACAAGCACTTCAGCTCCCCGCGTTGGCAGTATTTATCAGGGCCCCTTCATTAGCATATTAAAACACGCGAACAATGCCGAGGCAATTAAATTACCACCCCTACCACAACCACCCCTACCCCCCGGGCCTAAAGCTGACCCACTCCTCTCAAGCGCACTCGAAGATGTGCCGAATGGTTTTCTTGGAGAACTACGCTTTTTTCAGTTTTTTTCTGTTTCATTTATTAGGCTCTTGACTCGGGTGCAACCGCAACAAAACAAAAACAAAAAACATCTTAATATTTTTTAACGGCCTTGAAACAAAGAAGGCAACAATAACAACAACAACAAAATCACAAAAGTACGGCAAAAAGTATGCCGGGTAAGTACAATTATAATTTTCTCGTTGAATAAACTGCTGGAAATTAATTCTAGATTTGAAGCTTTCGTGACTGCAAGGATTCATATTCTTAGGTTTTTTCGGTAAAGTCACGTAGATAAGACGGAAGCTTATGTTGCCTCCGAAACGTCGTGATTTTTTATTTTATTTTTATTTTACTTTTATTAATTTAATTTAAATTTTTTATCTACGTGACTTTACCGAAAAAACCTAAGAATATGCTGGAAATTAACCTGGAAGGTTTAGCAGACGGTGGCAATGATACGTTTTTGGGTTGGGAGGCAGGGCGGACGGTCCGAGTCCAGAGTATTAATTTGTGTGCCATCGTGTTCTACGTAAAATTCGCAACGAGTGAAACTTGTGGAAGCATCCTTTTGTAACAATGGGTGGGATGGACAGAAAGGTGTGGACACTTTGAATACAGGGTTCACTAGCAATCGGTGTTTAAACGTGCAAGTACTTCAAAGTGCATACACAGAAGACACCGTTTTGGGGAGCAATCACCTAATTCTTATCACTGCAAGAACCATCCCAAGACTATATAGGGGCATTACATACTCATCTCGTTGGCACATTTTTTTCTATTCTTCCATTTTTTTACACTGTACCGTTGTACAACCCACACTAACCCAATGAATGACTTTTCATGAGCCATTGATTCGACTCTCAATCACCTTCTTCGCAGGTATGTTATGTTCCATGTAAGTCACCCTTTGCACTCTGTTCTCACTCTACTGCCACCGTAAAATGCTTTGACGGCAGGCTTCCAATAGCTGGGACAGAACGCGGTCTATAAAAACATGCGCTGTGTACCATGTGAGGATCATGCGCCTGTGGTCAATTGAATCGACAGTCGTGCTCACTGTCTACGCTGCTTTGGAGTTTTTTTTTACATTGTACAATAGGTGCCTTTGGATATTTATGTATTTAAATAAATCTGACCTTGTGTTGAAGATATGGAAATGTTCACTCGTGATTAAAAATAAAAAAACGACTGTAAGGATAGTATACTCTTTGGTTCTTTCGGTAAAGTCACGTAGTTAGAAATACAATAAAAATAAAACAAAATAAAAAACAAGGATAGTGTTCTTTTGCAAAGCGTATAAACTGTATACTGTACTGCATATCTAATTGTAATTACATTTAACAGTATGCTTGTCAAATGTTTCACCCCACATATTGCCAATAGAGTCTTCAATAAATACGTGAACATAAAATAGCTTCTAATTTAAAATAACAAATCAAAATAAATAAGAATGTTATTTTTTGCAAATGCTTAACCCAGGCAATGTCAGGACTGATTACATAAACTGAACAAAAATATTTCATGCAATTCCTCAGGTGTCGTTCTCTGAAAATGAATATACTGGCACTTATTTGCACATTTCCTTATGAGAATTTAAAGCGTTCAACGTTTAAGGAGCAAAAAATATGCGGAAAAATAACACGTGAAATATACCCTGGCCTATTATTACCATTTATTTTCTCAGGTGCTTGAGGCTTTAACAGCTCAAATTTCAGGATCGTGTTGATCCAGGCTAAACAAAATCACTTGGAGCTAATTCACATGTAACATTGTATACACGTAAGAGAGCAAAGGAATGTTGTGTTTTCATGTTCACAGAGTGAGGCAACATAATGTTTTCAGAATCAAAAGCAACGAGTGAAAAAAATAAAGCAAAACAAACTATAATGTTTTTATCTAATGTATAACAAAGCAAAATAGTTGTCAGAAAGACGAATACAATATGCAGCTTGTGACTTAGATATTACTTGCTTGCATAACATGCAAAAAATGGCATACTTATGAAATGTATATGGATCACTCTTGAGATGCCAAGGTTTTGTCCTCGTGACAACGTATGAGGCACGGGTGATGTGTGCTGATACAAGAGTGACACTTAAGCCTCCCAGGTGGTCTCTGAAAATTTGCCAACAACTAAGATCACCCATTCTACCCAGTCTACCCATTCATTGTTAAAACGCAAAGCTTGGTTACTTACCACTGTAATGCTGACTTGGTGGAATGAGTAGCACACTAGGCCACTGTTTCAACTGCAGTTGAAATATGGGCAAGTTTATTAAATTACCCCGTTGCCTCTGTCCACCCAGCCGTATAAATGATATAAATGTGGGAAGCGGTGGTGCAACGGTCAGCACTCTGCACTACGAACCACGCGACCAGAGTTTGATTCCCGCTCATGGTCAACACCTGTGACGATTATCTGAACCGGTCCTGGGCCTTAAATTGGCTCCTGGTGCAGTGTGTAAATATCGCCACTGGGGAGACAAAGGCGACCGAGCGTGGTGCTGGCCACCCACTCCCTCGTGTGCCGTGTCGGCCTTCGTAGGTGCTCGCTAACAGTACTTGCCACAAAAGTCTGTTAAGGTTATACGGGGGATTTGTGTCTTTATATAAATGGGTACACCTTAGTCGATCAGCAGATCGTGTGTGGTGCGGTAAAGTGTGGGTACTACCACCTCTTCCAAGATGTCTGGTCAGCGTAATAGAGTAAACCAAAATACAAAAAAAAACCTCCACCTAACACTGTAATGGCTTATTAATAACATATAGTTTCAGTATCGTGTTTTATTGATTCAATTATACATTTTAACGAAGGTACCATTATATTGTGTGGGTTGGTAAAGGGGGCCCAGGGCAGGTTCAGATATCACCATGACCGATATCACCAGCCGTGGATAAACAAAGGGCTGTACATTATTGTAGAAAAATATGGAATGAAGTGGACATTCTAAATGTGTGTGTGGTGGAAGAGGTGAGACCGAGCTGAACTTGAATTATTAAGGAAAGAATAAATGTTCTTAGTCAGTTGCTCTTTCTCATGAACTCCAAAATAAAGTTTTTCCTCTTTTTATGCAACAATTTATATATATATATATTTTAAGAATTGACTTTATTAACCTATGTATGGTTACAACAGAAATAATAACCCATGTCTACTGTGTTACTGAAAATACACGAAAAAAT